TGTGTGTGTGTGTGTGTGTGTGTGCTGTGTTCTTCAGGTGCCTAATCGTTTCCCCCTTCTACAACCTACAGATATCTGTCACTCCTCTGAATGTGCACGGCCATGTCGAGTCTGAACTCGAAGCTCCAGCGTCAGACTGGCTGTCAGCAGCTGTGTCTGTATCCGAAGAAAAGGAAGCTCCAGCGACCTAACAAACACGCAGAAATGTACACTGTAGGTGCTTTAGTCCTTGCCTTGGTGTCCATCTCCTCTCCCCTTGCTTTATTGGCTTGATTCTTGTCTGTCTTTTGCATTCCATGCTTGTTCAGTGCAGTCTTTATTTTTGTTGGTCTTCTCCGACGATTGCCGATTTTCTTCGTCATGTAAAATGATTTGATGCTGGAGCCCCTACAGTTTCGAAGTGATCATGTAGGCGACTGCATCTACTAGACAAATACTGCCACTCCCCACTATTTTTTCAGTGTGGTTTGTTCCAGAAAGGTGGTGTGTCACCGGATGGGTGTGATTGATTTTTGATTTGTACCTTCTGGACCATGTCGTACGAAAATATTTGGACCACATGTAACCTGAAATGCAGTTTCAGCAATTTAGTTTGTTGGTGTGAGCAGTGGCAGAATTAACTTGCTTTTTTACGAGAGTTCTTCGGGTCATTCTCTTGTGCTAGTGTTAAGGCATCTCCAAGGTGGACGCCTAAACGGACGCCCCCAAATGTCTGTGGACATGTTAAGGCCACCCCTCAAATTTTTCCTAGTTTAAACATTTCAAATTCGCAAATTTGATGAAATTTAGACTAGTTTGATATATTACATTTATTTCTAGTTTGATATATATTACAGTACATCCAAACTATTCAAAATTAATCTAAGCTAAACTAAAACTTAATTTTTAAAAAAAAAACTTAATTAAACCAACCTGGACGCCGTGGTTTTGCGGTGGCACCTGGGCCAACTCATCTAGGAGGGACGCGCAGAGCCCGGCCATGAGCTGCTCCTTGCTCATCCTCCGTGGTCTGAGGCCATCGGGGCGGCTTCTTGTCTGACGACTTGCCGCCCCTTCCCGGTGGTCCTCGGAGGCGGGGCGCCTCCTTGACGGCTGAGGGGGCGACCAAGTAAAGTGATAATGTACCTCCTTGGCGTCTTCATTGAGCCAAGTGTGGTTGCACCTACTCCAAATTCAGATGCTCTCTTCGCGAAAAAACTTTGTGACTTGCTCGCTAGTGTGGAGGTTGATAGACTTGGTTTGGGTAGGTCGATTGCTTGAATGATCTTCAGTCTCTTGGCTCATCCTATTGGATTGGTTTGTCGTTTGTGGCTTGGAAGGTGTCTGATGTCTTTTGTTGAGGTGTTCTTGTCGGGGTTCACATGGCGTAGTAGCAATGTCGTGGTTTGTGGATGTTGTGTAATCAGAGAGTCTGTCAGGAGTCACGTGTGCGGTTAGTCCGTGCTACGTTTGTATCGGTTTTCGTTCGGTTTTTCGTTAATCAACTGGGCAATTCTCTTCTTAATAAATCGATGAGGCAAAACTTTTGCCTACGTTTCAAAAAAAAAGATAATATACTATATCTATTCACCAAGTCATTTCCTATGGTCAGTACTTACCCAACTCCAACGCAGAAACTCAAGCGGACGCAGGTTTTGTTTGTTTTTGTCCATTTGGGTCGTCAGTTTGGCCGGTGTTTGCCCAAGTCCGTGTCAATCTAAGCAGTGCGTCCAACCGGCCGACCCATTTAATCCGTCTCGATAGTTTTTCTGCTAAATTTTCTCAATTTTGGCATTCTATACATATAAATCAAACAAACAAATAAAAATAAAACATTGCTTAAATGAATAAGTCGCATATTTGTTACAATACAATAAATAAAAATCACATAGTTTGCAACTAAATTAATTTAAAATTATAGCAAATACATTGAAAGAAAAGGAGCAGATACATCTATCGGTTTCCTATGTGAGTCCACATATGCTCTCGAATAGGTGCATTACATTTATGATAAGAGGAGAAGCCAAACTTTTCAAAGACATCAGTCTTGCATTTGAAGTAATCATCCTACCCCATCGTTCCCTTCCGCATACAGTTGAACACATGTCTCGCCATCCGAAAGCGTCGCCGGAAAAGCTTAGCGGAAAATAGTTGAACACATGTCTCGCCATCCGAAAGCGTCGCCGGAAAAGCTTAGCGGAAAATAGTGTGTCTGTGAGCTCGAAATAATTGTTGTAGATTAGGCAATGGCCACTTCCTCTGTTACGGTTCAATCCCAGAGCATATGGCCCGTGATCGATCCCCTAAACAATGGTTGTTGACTCGAAATGTGCTCATTGACGACCATAGTAGCAACCACAACATCCTCGTCGTCGAACTCATCTTCCGATGATGAACATAGGGTGTTATTGTAAAAAAAACTCATTCGAGCTATCCACCATTGCTCCTTCGGGGTGATGAATCCGTTCATTGTGGGCGTGGAGGAACCTCGACTGGGCAAACGGCCGAACACCTTGTGGGTGGCAACGGAGGCGGGCGTGGATGAGTGGCGGCGGTGAAGGGCACCGTCCTTGGCCTGTTCAGGCAGCATGCCTGTCGAAGCCGACGACGGCGATGAGGATAAGGTGGCGGGAAGCGGCCACAACGCCGACAAGAGTGGGTGTCGATGGATGCGGTGGCGTTGAGACCATCGGTGGATTCGGCGGCAGGGGTTGGAGCGGTGACGAAGCGGTGACGAAGCGGCCGAAACTGGGTGGCTGCGACGACGACGAGGCCGGGGGTGTTGGGTGTGGAGGGAGAGGGTGAACAATGGTCGTTGTGCCACAGACATGCGAGCCAAGGGGCAGGGGAGGGCGTCACGGGCGCCCGTGATGTGTCCGTGTGGATGCAAACTCCACCCAAATTTGGGCCTGAAATGAGTCGAGGCGGACAAAAAATGAACATCCATCTATTTGCGTCGGCACATTGGACCGTGCTTTTCGTCCGCGCGGATCCAATGAGACGAAATGTGTCCTTGTGTTGTGGAGTTGGCCTTAGAGAAGTGTAGAATGCAGGAGGGAGAAACTGCACGGCCAAAAGACAAGGTTATACTCTTTTTCCTTTGTTCGAATTTTACTGAAGTTTATCAACGCAAGATTTTTGACGATGCAATTCATTCAACACAGTGGTATGCAAGTATCCTTTCTCCATCTTCCCGTAATAGGGTTTTCCAAGTTTTACCAGAGCTTGAACATACTACGAGTGGCAGTCCAAGAGTGAGTGTTTTTTTAGGGAAAGTCCGAGAGTGAGTGTTAGGATTTGAACCCCTTGAGTCTTTTCCCAGTTTCGAAGAAAAGGAGAGGTGAACTCCTACTCAATTACACCTATCAAGCCACCTACTATATATTATGGGGCAGTGCTACAAAATTGTACATATCTTCTCCGAAGAACTGAATAATACAGAGAAAGAGTCATATCCTACATCTTATATTTATTTCGCAATTACTTTCTTCGTCCCATAATATAAGAGCGTTTTTGACACTATACTATGGGACGGAGGGAGTACTTTTCACGCGTGTTCTACCATGGTCTCAACAAGCTCAACCACCCACATGCACTCTCTCCAGAGGAAAGGGGACATTTCCTTTGAATTGCAACCCTCTCGCTTACTACCCTCAACTTCTTCTGCAATCCGCAAAGGAATTGCAGTTGAAGAACCGGTTGTTCTGTTGTGAAGCTCCCCGGGTGCAGTTCGTCAGGGAAAAGGCTACAGAAAGCCCGCACGACTGTTATGTATGCCAGGCCTACATTGCCATCCACCACTGGGTCGCTCCTCATCCGGTACACCCGTTTCTGGCATCGTTTCCATTTCTGAAATATTCACAGTAAATATGAAGTCCGGTCGGCTTGCAGAAAATAAGCCAGTGGTACTTCCTCGTTGCGCAGGTCATCAAAATGAGCCCGCACGTTGACTACTCTGAATCCATCCTAAATCGTTGTAGACCACAGTGTTCACTTGAGCTACCTGTTGATAAGCCTCGCTCCCTGTTGTGTTCAGTTCGACCGACCTTCAGAGGACCTGAACTTGAATACCGCCGAAAAGAACCAGATGCATCCAGGGTATCATAACGCGCCGATGCAGTGAACTGCTCTGTAGACAGCATTGGGCCTGCATCCATATCCAGACTTGCCCTACTTACAATCTCAGCGTCTTGGACATGCAAATCTTGGCTAAAACTTGTTGACTCATTGAACTCACTGCCTTCTTTGCATACCAACTTTAAGGCTTGAACAACTTCCCCCATAAACGGCCGCTGGTCCACCTCTGGCTGAACACACATGGAAGCAATTGCTGCTACTTTTGCGATGCTGTCTAACGGGATGCTACTTCCAAGTGATGCATCGATGAGTGTTTCCAAACCATCTCTGTTTGTCAGAAAAGGACAGGCCCACGTCACCAAGTTTTCTTGCCCTGGAGGCCTTGACATATCTACAGGTTTCCTGCCCGTAAGAAGCTCGAGGAGGACGACACCGTAGCTGTAGACATCGCTCTTCACTAGAAGATGCCCAGTCATCGCATATTCAGGAGCAACATACCTATCAAGAACCCGCCATAAGTTTAAGATACGTCGAGGATATTATGAAAGAGTTGAGAGATCCAACTTACCCAAAAGTTCCCATAACCCGAGTTGAGATATGCTCGTTCCCCTCGCCTATAGCAGTTCTTGCTAGGCCAAAGTCTGAAACCTTGGGGGTGAAGTCATGTTCCAACAAAATGTTACTTGACTTGAAGTCACGGTGTATAACGCGAGGACTTGAATCTTCATGCAAATAAGCAAGACCTCGTGCCGCGCCAAGTGCAATTTTAAGCCTGGCATCCCAATCAAGCAGAGCAGTGTCCTTATCTGATCCTGTGTGGAATCATAAAATGATTTGTTTATAAGTTTGCACATCCATGTTATACAAGTTATCTAATTGACAGACTTATCCTGGCCTAAGCCCTAAGAGGGATGACCAGCTTGTAACCCATCAGAAGTACCAAGAGTTTGAAAAGATGGGTTTTACGACATAGTAGTGTTCATATGTGCGGGTATTTCATGTCTTAGCATATCAGTGTTCATATGTGCAGTGCACTCTATTATAACAGCTGTATAATACTACAGAAAATACTTCTAAATTTTATTGTCACTAAAGTGCTTCGCTAATCTAATACGTCTCTGTCCAAGAAAGAAATAGGCTAATGAAGCGGTAAAACTGAAATTCTCATGAAAACAGTAAAGGAATTCTGATAAACTGAAGGTCTACTGACAGAAGGAACAAAGTCTTACCGTGCAGGTGAAATTCCAGACTTCCATTTGGAACAAGCTCATATACCAAACATCTCATATGCTCCTCCGAGCATATACCTATCAACTTAACCAAGTTCCTGTGATGCAATCGGCTAAGCATCTCAACCTCAGCCAAGAATTCCCGGGTTCCTTGCTGGTCATCCCTCTTAAGAACTTTGACAGCAACCCGTTCTCCATCCTCAAGAATACCTTCATAAACACGTCCGAAACCGCCCTCACCAATTATCCTGGACTCATCAAATCTTTGTGTAGCTCTGTCCATTTCAACCAAACTAAATATTTTTGCTGATCCTTTATATGCCACTATACTTGAGCTGAATGACGGTGATGCCGAGATAGGTCTGCTTTCTAGCCTACTCCCGGCTATTGCAGAATCTGCATTTCCAATGCAAGCATTGACGAAAAAAAGAAAAGAACAGTAAGCAAAACAGCGTTTAAAGTTATTTTTATAGCTTTAGCCCCTTCAGATTTTGCTCAAAGCTGTTCAAAGTGCTTTGACCAGTAAAGCATGAAATAAAATCTTTCATAAAACAGTTGCTTTCAGGCAATAGTAACATAAAACAAGAATTCACAACTTCTGAAAGCTAAAAACATTATATTTGTATTAAGTGGAATAACAGAAACAAGAATCCTTAGAGAAAATGGCTTTGCTACCTGCAGGCTTTTCTGGTGTAAGTGATGCTTCGGTTAAATGATGGCGGTTTCTAAGCTTGAAATAAATCACCAATGCAGCTCCAGCACATAAAATTAAAGCAAAGATACTTGACAGGACAATAATCACAATTATTCCTCTGCCTTTTGTTTCTCTGTGGTTTCCTATATCAGCAGCAAGTGGGTGTAACCTTTGATCATTTCCATTGCTAAGACTGTTGTTCAGATTTCCAGGAGCTGATGGTGGTGAGGAAGGGAGACCTGAATGAGTAAATGAAACAAGGTATTACCATGACCATTTTTCCAGAGAGAAAAAGAATGACAGATGACTAGATAGAGACCTGAATAATAAACAAAGCGACTGGAGGATCAAGTCAAATCAAAGATTAAAAAACCGACATGATAGGCAGGAAAATGTTGACATAAAGGAAATCAGTATTAAGATGAATAACACAAAAGGAGTTATAAAGCTCTCACCTGGGTATTGAACATTTAACACATCATAGTTTCCAAAATCCGTAGGATTTATGATGACCTGTTTGCGCCAAAACCTTTCAAATACTGAAAGTGTTGTTGTATTGTCAAAGCTTGCTCCCAATGGCACAAGATCAATGAGGACAATTGTCTTCTCAGGGTCTTCAGTTGCAGCATTTGCTCCCATAACATGAACTTGACTTTGCTTCATGAACACTCCAGATGCAATTTCTTGTGCAAGTTCTGAGACCAATGCAAAGAATGTGTACAGTGCTATACCTAATCGAAGCTCAACTTTTATTGGCAACACACAGAGGCATGTTGTTCCTGGAGGACTATTGGTCATAGGATCTTTACAATTTAACGCCGTGCAGTCTAGCAAAAAAAAAAGGATGAATGAACCACAACTGAGCGATTAGTACTAAAAATGTAGCAGCCCGGTTAAATTGAATATACAGAATATTTGAATTGATAAATTTCAGACGGCAATAAAGTATCTGTGTCATACATGAATTTGGAGGTGGCGGCGGCAAGGAATGACTTGGTGCTGGTGCCAAAGCCCTGGGCTTTCTAAATGCAGGATTGTCAGGTGGTAGAGCATGTTCTGCATGTACAATTGTAGATAAATATAAGTCAATTATAATTAGGTTGCCATTCATCAACCAGAAAACAACACATTCACTTTGAAGGCCTAGAAGTTACTGCGTTAATCAGATGAAAAAGAGAAAGATCCGTGTCGTCGATTATAGTGGGTCCAGCATTACAGATCAATCAGATATGTGTAGTTATTTATAGTTAAGTTTGTAACTAGTCTTTTTTTCTTTTCTTGTAAATATTTGCAACTCTTTTCCCCTATTATATGAATGGCAGAGCACCTGCTTGGTTCCTAAAAGAAGTCATATAGAAAGAAAAAAAAAAGCATCTTGACACGCAATTGCATGGGAAAATTCCGGCTAGTTCATGTTAAGCCATGTAAAGCTAGATTGCTTCTGGCCCTATTGGATTCAGCATGAATAGAGAAAGAAGACACTTTCAACGTATTTAATGCAGGATCAAAATTGAGGACCTCGTGATCAATATTGCATATAGTCAAATGCCCGTAGTAGAGCTAGGATATACTCTACATGCTCAAATCAAGGATGAGTCTCAACCAATATTGTGGACAAAATATTGAACTTTAAATCATACTCCCTCCGATCCAAAATAAGCGTCGCAGTTTTGAACTAAGGATAGTTCAACCTTAGTTCAAAACTGCGACACTTACTATGGATCGGAGGGAGTAATATTTAGTCTGCAAATTGTTAAGCTTCATGCACTAACCAACGCAACCAAAAGTCCAAACTAATGGAAAGGGCTAGTGCAATCCACATACTTAACACCCCCTCTCACCTGTGACGGGGAAGACAAGTTAACACGTGCAACCGGAAGAGAGCGACGGCGCGAAACTCGCGTATGACTCAAGAGGCCTCTACGTGGACACAAAGGGGGGCTACCAACAATTTTTAATAAATCCCGAAAGCCAGGACTTGAACTCAAGACCTTAGGCCCTGATACCATGTTAAGCTTCATGCACTAACCAACGCAACCAAAAGTCCGAACTTATGGAAAGGGCTAGTGCAATCCACATATACTGTAACACAAATATGGTCGTTTGACAATTCTGGCATTACTGATGAAACGTGGTGTACTTATCAATGCATTAGCATGTCTCAGTTCTCAAGGATGTCAGTCAGCATGCTCGGTTGAACCCAACCGAACTCAATATATAGTGCCTTCAGGAAGGTGTGGTTGTAGGGTGGAGACAAACCCCAGGCACGCCAGACCGCGGCCCGGGGCATGGCAATCTCGTGTAGGCTTCCTATAGCATTCTATATCGCTCTGTAGCATCCTGTAGCTACATTGTTTGAACCTGTGTTCATTCCATTTTGAGGAGCTAGAAGGGATGACATAATGTAAAGAATAAGAGCAAATTGCAATACATACGTATATTTACCCATTTGGCCTTTACTCTGTTGTCTATATATGAGGTGAAGTTGGACAATTGTGAATTACCACTTCTTTTCCTACAATTATCACAACTAACCTGGAGAATATGAAGGTGAATGATATTGATGAGGGTGATGCGGAGCATACGCTGGATTTCCATCTTTTCCATTTGATGGAGGCAAGACTAGCGGTGCTGGAGCAGGACTATGATCTAAACCTGAATGTCCATGGCTTGTTGCAGAAGCATTACCAGTTCTATGTGGAGCAGGGCTTATGACAGGAAAGGAACCTGCACCAAACATCACTAACTGAGATGAATGTACTTATTTCTAGTTATCTTTTTGCTAGTGGGATTGTGGGTACCTTTGTGGTGTTTATGATTTGCAGGTGGTACATGGCTGGAAGGTTCCTTTGGCGGTGCAGCAACTGGAATGCCATGTCCTCTCCTACGGATGCTGGGGGAAATTTGAGGAGAAACGACAGGTCCTGCACAATATAACTTCATAAATTCACTATCGGCAATAAGTTCATTATTGTTGAGGCCTAGTAGGTATGGTTGGTGCCTTGGTGGGATACCTTCTACAGATGTCCTATTGACAGGCAAGGAACGATGATGCCTTCCCTTTGATGGTGCCACAACTGGAGCCCCACTGATCCCATCTGTATTATTTACAGGTATAGAATGGTGATGTCTTCCTTTTAAAGGTGATGCAACTGGAACGCGATTGGCCTTCCCATGGTTGGCAGGATGGATTGTTGTTCTTGGAGAAGCAACTGGTCCTGCACAATGATGTATAAGAACAAAAAATGTTATCTCCGCTCCTTAGCACACCTAGTCCCGTGAGCGGCACAAGTGATTGATGATGGAGAAACAGCAGATATTGCCGATCGTATATTTGGACTGCATAAATGTAGAAGATAAATCTACAGAATGACATGATTGGGTTCAGTACCATTTGAATGAGGACGTTGCCTCTGTTGTGGGGGGGTTTGAATGGCCCGGTGTATCAAAGGTGGAGCGGCAGGAGTTAAATGACTAGTCTCCCTTGTGCCTATTCCGAAGCAAATACCTCCTTTAGAAATGCTATAAAAAAATCTGCACTGAATCATGTAGACTGAACCTTTTGGTGGTGAGCGGCTGTGAATTGGCAAATTATTTGGAGGTCTAGCAAATGATATGCCATCCTTGTCCTGACTAGATCCAGGAGCGATGGGCGCCGGTGGTACTACTGATACATACAGCAAAGGTTATATACACGAAAATCTGGGTGAGGAAAAACTGAAAACTTTGACACGTATGGACCAGCTAGATGACTAGACATCAATAAAAACTATACCTTCCTGTGGTGGCTTTTTTTTGCTGGGTAGTTCTCCTGGAGGTGAAGCAACTGGTACTCTAAGTGTGTCCTGGCCTGTTGGAGGAGTATGGAATGAAGAAGGAGCTGCTTGCCATACGAATGACAGGTCGCAACAGATTCTGGGTTAGGTAAATACGAGAACTTGACACCATTTTAGTAAAGCTAATAGTAATAACATAGTAGTATACATTATCAAAAACAAATAACATGATGTAACATCAGATCCAACAATCTTACAATGGCCATATATACGGGGTAAAGGAGCTGGCCGTGTTGATTGACTGCCAGTGGAAGGTGAAGATGGAGGCGGTTGAGATGCTGGTCAAGATAAAATTATATGAAATTTGAGAAACAAATAATTGACCAAATGGTAATGACATTGAGGATGTAAAGCAGATCCGGATAGTTCTTACACCAGGGTGGCTGTGGTAGAAAAGGTGCGGCAGCCGGAGTTTTAGCATGAGACACATGTGGTTCAACTGGAAGAGATGGCGAAGCAGCAGACATTTGTTCTTGAAGATGATGATTGCTTCTTTGAGTAGCTGGAGAAACCATTAGCGAAGGAGGGGCAGGTTGGCCCGTGAATAAAGCAATAATGTTTTCATCATTTGAAACTGGATTTTACAGTTACCCAGGTACAGGTAGAGTTCAGCATCATGCTGAACAGCGATTCACCTGGACTCTGTATAGATGGAGATATTTCTGGTGACTGATAAAAATGATCAGGTGAAACACTAGGTTGCATTGTAGGCAGCACTGCCTGCTTGGATGCTGACACAGCTTCATCCGAGGAAGCCAAAGAATGTAAACCATTTCCATTAAAAAATCGTGAGTGTTTAAAAAATATCTTGACATGGGATTGAAGGAAAACATATAATAAGTCGGAGTTACAAAAGGTACCTTCATGTTTGATTGTTGGGCTCGGTGCGTAATGATCATACTGTTTGTTAACATCTGTACTAGTTGGTGTTGATAATTTTACAGTTAGCCCTAGAAAATAATTGTTAATTGATTTAAACTACAATCACACAGCAGATATATAACAACAAAATTTTGAAATCATTGGCCCATAGGCATGTTTAGTTACACACCTAAGCTTTGCAATGTTGGAACTTGTAGTTGTGATGGGTGAAGTATATTATCCAAGTTGATTTGTGGATGGCCACTTGTTATGGATAGAAGAACTTTACGACCAAAGGCAGGTGCATGAGATTGCTGATGACCTTCAGAAACAAAGTAAATATGGCATTCAATTATTTACTGTCATAACTCCAGTCGTCATTACAAAACAAAAAGGAACGTGGTTACGTTTGGAAGTGAAACGAAATCTTAAGCAGTAAGTACATCTGAATCAATCTTACCAGTGTGTAGTATATAGGAGTAGTTGATAAACAGTGAAAAACAAAGTTCTAACAGAGAATATAATTAGTGAAATAATTAAGCACGCGTATAATCATTATTTATTTGGCCAGGATTACATACATGTATCTGGCCAGTGCGTTGCTGATACAGAATCACAATAAAGTGCTAATAAAATATAATTCAAAAAGTAATTAGGCACGCAGGTGACCATTAATCCATCATATATCTGGTAGTGCTCGACACTAATCTAGGTACTGATTAGAAGTTAAAAGTGAACGATCTCGCTTTGTATATGTAAACAAATCTTGTGCCTCCCGTATATTACTCTGCTGAAGATTTGGGGCAGCTGAAGATCACAAACAACGCTCTCTAACCATTAATCTGCCATCCAATTCCAGCAATCAAAGGAGGCTGGGACAACGGTAGCTGGAGTTGCCACACAACTAGTTTGACTGACCGCAATAAACTAACGCTAAGGCTCGGGGTTTGGCAGCTAAACCCAGGAAAATTCTCGCGAGTAAGGCGGCATTCAGACACGCATGATCCTGGTCGGACTAGAACGACAGCAGGAGACCGCGAAACCACCAAAGTTGCCGAGAGAAGCACGCCGGTAACCCCACATACCTCCACCTCCAAGGATGACGACAGCGGAGACGACCGAGGCGACGGCGAGGACGGCGCAGACGCCCCACCCGTTCCCTCCTTGGCGCCGCCCCATCTCCCGGAGCCGCGGCGGCAGAACCCGGACCGACGCCGCCGTCAAGTACCGACCGCCCACGAATCCGCCATACCGGCAAAAAGGCCTGTTGGCGGGAGCGGGTGAGCGGGCGGGGGCAGGGGCAGGGGCCGGTGCGCGAGGAGGGAGAAGATTCGCTGGCAGTAAACAATTGGGGAAGCGAAGCGCGCATAAAATCCAACAGGGGTCAGGAGGAGCAAGTTGCACTAGCAGCGGCGGCGGCGGCAGGGCATTTCCGGCGATCGCGCGAGTGTTTTTCTACGGGTTGGTTTTCTTTCGCAGCAGCAAGCAGGGGGCAGGGGCGGGCGGGCGGGCGGGCAGGGGGCAGCGCGTGATGGTGTTTGGTAGCCATCCTCGCCATAAAGTTAGGCGGAGTCTGGTCCGGGACACGCACAGAGGGTGGTGGACGCGTGGGTCCTTTCTTCTTTCTTTTGCCCTTTTTCTGGGGACACCATCGAGCCATCAGCGAGATTGACCCGGGACGACTAGCATACGAGCGGTGGTGTATCAATACAATCACCATGGTTTAAAGCACCTCAAACATAATAAAAATTAAATTAAAATCTCTAGATCTCATGTGATCACTGTCGTCGATGAAAGTCGGAAAATCTTCGTGCACATGCCCTTAAAGACCAGCACCCCGAAGTCGCAGTCGTCGGTATTGAACCCATAAATACATCTGAAGCAACTGATATCAAATCTCGCCGTCGTGCTCCCACGACGAGAAATGCTAAACTCACCGCTCCAAAGAGACGGCATGAATCTATGGCGGCGGTCCGTCGACTACGTCCAAATAAAGGAACTCGATGAGGATCGAAACCTGAAAGGCAAATTTGAAGAAGAAGCGTCGACATCAGCCCGAGCGTTGCACATGTAAGGACTAAACAAAACATAACCTAAACTACTAGCCAAATCGGAGGCCCCGGGATATTTCTCCCCACCACCAACCGTCGGAGCGGCAGGTGGATGGAAGACGGATCCACAAACTCGCCGGTAAAGTTTTGATGAGAGCTTGCCCTATCCGCCGAGAGGACCGGGACAAAGCGCTCGGAGAAAAAGTCTCTTTAGCTATTGTCATTTTTATTTTATACAAGCACCCTCACCCTCACGTAAAAAAGAAAGAGAAAAAACAAGCACAGCCTTCTCACTGCACTCGTGGCTCTTTGCGACTTCTGATCACCCGTCCAACTGTTCAGTTAGCAGTGTGCATAGTTTCACCTTCACGGGAGAGAACATTTGCTTCACCAACAAAAGCCTGCTGGGAGCTACTCCTCGAACTGGAGTGCGTTTGGACCATATACTACACAAAACGCACATCAAAGCGGCCAACAAGCCGGAATCATGATTCGGAACGGTCCAGTTAACTGATCGGGGCTGGCGGGTGGCAACGCTCGTTTACAAAGTCGCTGTGCGCGGTTTGACGTCACACTACATCCTCGCCGAGATCACCTTCCCCATTAATCATGATAATGCTCGAGACAAAGCACGCTTGGACAGGCAAGATAAAGGCCTCCCGCATGCCGTGCGGTCCAATGCGTGGAGCATTTCTCAAAAGCAGAACGGCCCCACAACGGATTTGGTGACCCACGGCGCAGGATTGTCCATCTATCTACGCTCCACTCGTGACCAAAAGGCCAAACGAGCCCCTTGCGTGTTG